TCTGGCAGCAGCTTGGTGGTCATCACTGGGCTGGACGTGGATGTTGGGGACATGGCTGAGGCCTTTGGCCCTCACCGCCTTGGCTGGGAACCCAGGGGCACTTCCAGTGGTGACTCGGTGGTCATCACTGGGCTGGATGTGGATGCTGAGGCCTTCGGGCCCCAACTGCCCCAGCTTGAGAGCCCAGAGCACTTCTGCTGGTGGTTTGGTGGTCATTGCTGAGCTGGATGTGGACGTCGGCGGGGCGTGGCTGAGGTCCTTGGCCCCCCACTGCCTTGGCTCAGGTACCTAGGGTGCTTCCAGCAGCAGCCTGGTGGTCACCACTGAGGCCCTCAGCACCCTCCCCCCACCACTGCCCCTGCTCAGTAGCCCAGGCTGCTTCCAGTGACCACCTCAGTTTTAAAGGGCAGGACTGCCACCCAGCAAAGCCTCATGGGCAGTGCTCTGACTGAGAGCTGCTTGGACAGGGCTCCACCAAGTGGAAGGGGTGGGCCACCCCACCAAATCATGAGGGTGATATTGCCATCCCAGTGCATCTGGAAGGTGAGGCCATAACCCTAGTAGGACTGGAAAGCAGACATTGAACCAGGGAAGATTATTCTCAAGCCTTAAGATCTAATGGTATTTGCCTTGATAGGTTTTGGACTTGCTTGGGACCCTATTACCACTTTCTTTTTTCTGATTTCTCCCTTTTAGAATGGGAATGTCTATCCTATGCCTGTCCCACCATTGTACATGTACTTCAAAAAGTTCATGGAAAATGAGACCCCTCATTTTGTAAGAACATAACTTACCTGGTTTCACAGGTTCAAAGCTGGAGAGGAATTTTTCTTCAGGATGAATAATTCCTTGTGTTTTATCTGTGTTTGATTTAATTTAGATGGGACTTTGGACTTTAGAGTTGATACTGGAATGTGTTAAGAAATTTGGGGATGTTGGGATAGAATGAGAATGACATGAATTTTGGGGGGCCAGTGGTGGAATGTTATGGACTGAATGTGCCTCCCCAAAACTCATAGGTTGAAGCCCTAATTCCCAATGTGATGGTATTAGGAGATAGGGCCTTTAGGGTATGATTAGGCTTAGATGAGGTCATGAGGTTGGAGCCCCTATGATGTGATTAGTGTTCCTCTCAGAGGAGAAAGAGACACCGGAGCTTTCTCTCTCCCTTATGTGAGAACACAGTGAGAAGACAACCACCTGAAAGCCAGGAACAGGGCTCTCACCAAATCTGCCAGCACCTTGATCTTTGACTTTTCAGCCTCCAGAACTGTGAGAAATAAATGTCTGTTGTTTAAGCCACCTAGTCTGCAGTGTTTGTTATAGCAGACAGTTTGCAGGTGATTTCTCCCGTCCCAAAGGTTGTTGCCTTTTTATTCTGTCAATTGTATGCTCTGATGCACAAAAACTTCTAAGTTTGGTGTAGTCTCACTTGTTTATTTTTGCTTTTGTTGTGTGTGCTGTCACTGTCACATCCAAGAAATAATTGCAAAGTCCATTGTCCTGAAGATTTTCCCCCCATGTTTTTTCCTAAGAGTTTTTTTGTTTTGGTTCTTAAATCTAGATCTTTAATCCATTTTGAGTTAATTTTTGTACATGGTATAAGAATCCAATTTCATTCTTTTGCATGTGGATATCCAGTTTTCTAGACACTATTTGTTGAATAGACTGTCCTTTCCCCATTAAGGGGTTTTGGCACTCTTGTCAAAGATCATTTGACCATAAATGTGAGGGTTTTTTTCTGGACTCTCTGTTCTGTTCCATTGTTCTAAATTTTCCATTGATTTTCCTTTATGCCAATACCACATTGTTTTGATTACTGTGGCTTTGTAATATATTTTGAAATCAGGACATGTGAGTCCTCCAACTTTGTGCTCTTTCAAAATTGTTTTGTCCATTTGGGGTCCTTTGAGATGCCATGTGAATTTTAGGATTTATTTTTCTATTTTTACAAAAAGTAGCTTTGGGGATTTTGATAGTGATTGCACTGAGTCTAGATTGCTTTGGGTAGTATGGACATCTTAACTATATGAAGTCTTTCAATCCATGAACATAGGATAGGATGTCTTTCCATTTATGTCTTTAACTTCTTCCAGCAGTGTTTTGTAATTTTCAGCATCAAAGTCACTTCCTTGGTCAGATTTATTCTTAAGTATTTTATTCCTTTTTTATGATGTTAATGGAATTACTTTCTTAATTTCTCTTTCAGATTTTTCGTTGTTAGTTTATAGAAACGCAGTTGATTTTTGTGTGTTGATTTTGTATCCTGCAACTTTGCTGAATTCATTTATTAGTTGTAGCAGTTTTTTGTGTGGAATCTTCAGGGTTTTCTACATATAAGATTATGTCATCTGGGAACAGAGATAATTTTACTTCCTCCTTTCCAATTTAGATGCCTTTTCTTTCTTTTTCTTACCCAAAAGCTCTGGCTAGAACTTCCAGCACAATGTTGAATAGAAGTGGCAAAGAGGGACATCCTTGCCTTGTTCCTTATCTTAGAGAAAAAGCTTTCAGTCTTTTACCACTGAATGTGATCTTCACTGTGGGTTTTTTATATATGGCCTTTTTTATGTTCAGGTAGACTACTACTTTTTTTTTTTTTGGCTTTGTAAATCAATATTTTTTTATTTTGACTTACACATTGTAATTGTACATACTTATGGAGTGCAGTCTGGTATTCTGATATATATGTGTTGTATAATAATTGTGTCAGGGTAGTTAATGTATCAGTCACCTCATGCATTTACCATTTCTGTGTGGTGAAAATATTCAAAAGCCTCTCCTCTAGCTACTATGTAATATACAAAACTTAACTGTTAACTGTAGTCACCCTACTGTGCAATAGAATATCAGAACTTATTACTTCTATTCCTAGTTTGTTGAGGGTTTTTTTTATCAGGAAAGGGTGTTGAATTTGTCAAATGTCTTTTCTATATCAGTTGAGGTAATCATGTGGTCATTTTAACTTTTAAGCATAATTTTATTGAAGTATAATATACACAGAGAAGTACATACATAATCATTTATGTGATGTGCAAGAGGGAAAATAATACATTCCCATTTTATAATTCTCTGTACAGTAGTCCCTCTCATTCACAGTTTTGCTATCTGCAGTTTCAGTTACCCACGGTCTGAAAATATTAAATGGAAAATTCCAGAAATAAACAAGTCATAAATTTTAGATTGTAGAACATTCTGAGTAGTGTGATGATTGCTGGGACGTGAGTCATCCCTTTGTCCAGCATGTCTACACTGTCTGTGCTACCTGCCCATCAGTCACTTAGTAGCTGTCTTGTGTATCAGGTAGACTGTTGTGGTATCACAGTGCTTCTGTTCAAGTAACCCTTATTTTACTTAATAATGGCCCTGAAACACAAGAGTAGTGATGCTGGCAATTCGGATAGGCCAAGAAGAAGCCATAAAGTGCTTCCTTTAAGTAAAAGGTGAAAGTTCTCACTTTCATAACGAAAGAAAAAAAATCATATCCTGAAGTTGCTAAGGTCTACAGTAAGAATGAATCTTTTATCCCTGAAATTGTGAAGAAGAAAAAAGAAATTTGTGCTAGTTTTGCTGTTGCACCTCAGACTATAAAAGTTATAGCCACAGTGGAGTGATACATGCAGAGTTAAGATGGGAAAGGCATTAAACTTTCGGGTAGAAGACATGAACAGAAATGTGTTCCAATTGATGGCAGTCAGGTTTGGTACAGTCCAAGGTTTCAGGCACCCCCTGGTGGTCTAGGGACATATCTCCCAAGGATGAGGGGGGATGATATATATTACATAATGTATATTGCATGGTGTGAAATTATTTGATTCGATTTAAAGTACTCAGTGGTTTTACTGGACTTTTAGTAATTTAGCAATATAGATTATGCCACAAGTTATATTTTCCCTTATATATAAACACATAATGTTTTAATGACATGCATTTTTATGAGACAGTTAAGTAATATAAAATGTTCCATACTGTAGTCTTAAGTATAAAATCTTGAAGTAGATACCTATGTTGAATGTTTTTTAAAATCTTATAAGTTTTTATATATGTAAATGGGAAATAGTTTTTAAGTTAAATAAACTTGTGTAAGAGTTTCAGCAGAGATTCAAGATTTTAAAATAAACATGAATTTAATCTCTTATAAAAGTTAAACATCTTGACACTTAATTACTGAACTGTAGTATGTGGCAAGCATCCAAAAATGTTTATTTTACCTTTTAGTATACAATAAAACTTATGACTGTTTAATTTGCTTATCTTGAACTGTAATATGCTGACTTTTTTTGGTTGACGTTGTATATAGATGGTAGACTAATATTGCTTACATCAAGTCTTTTACTTTTTATATGTGATACTATATCTACGCTTAAATATTTCTAAATGTGTGTTTTGGTTTATTGTAAAGTAGGTATCATTTAAAAAAGAATAGTAAAACCAAAATGAAGGAGTAATTTAAGAACTTAAAACTTAAAAGTTTTTTTCCTAGTCCTGAGCAAAGCTTTCTACCATTTTACTTTGTCTGAGGAATCAGTGAAAAATCATAGTTCTTCTGTGTAGTTCCTAGAGACAGGGTGATGAGGAGGATTGAGTCTTTGTGATCACTTTCTCTTCTCATAACAAAGTATCAGTGGTAGAGTTTCCTCACTCAAGTCATTGTATTTTAGTGCCTATCCCCGTGTTTAAATTAAGTAGTGGTGGTTAAATTAAATAAATATTATATAGAGATGGGAGAGGGGGAAAGACAGACATACATGAAATTTAAATAGAGGCTACTTTAATATGTCTTAGTTTACTGACTACTTTGATAGACAGTTGACTAGGTTGTAAGAAATATATTTCCTTAAATGGTCTGTTGACTGAAAAAAAGTAGTCAACAGAGCTGTAGAATTTTCTTTGACAATAATATCTCTGTAAGCTAAAGAATGAGACAGATCTTGAATGTATTACATTTTAATGTATTTTAAAGATATACACACAAATGGCTATATATTTTTGTCTTTCAGAGTTGGAGGGTTATCCAGTATATTAATGTCTTATTGATAATGGCAGAACATCCACCACTACTGGACACAACTCAGATTTTAAGTAGTGATATTTCTCTTCTATCTGCTCCTATTGTAAGTGCAGATGGAACACAACAGGTAAGGAAACTGAAATGTTTAATTCCTTATGTCTAGTATACATATGTTTCTTTCAGAAGAATGAAAAATTTGAAAGTTAAACTTCACAATAGTGGATTCCTATTAATTCATGTTTTAAACTCCAGTTCATAATGTTGTTCAGGTTTTATAAGAGGATAAAATGAGACTTTTTTTGAAGTTTCTTCTAAAATGTCTTGCTAATTAATGGTCATGTTTATTTTGTGTATATTTAGTTGCCACTAAAGTTGTTTTTGTTTTCTTTTAGACAAACAATGTACTAGTCTCTGAGTGTTTTTTTTTAAACTAAATTTAACCAGATATTTTAATGACTGTTATAAATGATTACTTTGTCATTGTGAAATTATGGCTTAATTATGCAATTAAATGACTGCCTACCTTATATAATAATAAAACTTTATCTGTTTCTTCCCACTGTCCTCTTCTCACCAAACCCCTCCCCCACTTCCAAAAGCAAATACAGAATTCCTGAAAAGCTGATATGTTTTTCCCCAACCCAGGGCTTTAAAAATGTAGTTCTGTGGTTGCACTGACTCTTCATTTCCCCAGTAATCATGAAGGGATGGGAATAATGGATTTTCATAAGTTCCTATTACGTGCTAGGCAATTCTCACAACTACCCTATATGGTGGATATTTTAACATAATATGTTTAAATATGTTTAAGAAACAAAGACTAAAGACATAACAAATGATAATGAGAAGGAGAAGGAACAGTTTGGGTGCTCGTTATGTAACAAACATTGTGCTGAGAACTTTATGATCTCATTTAATTCTTTCAACAATCTTAGCAGGTTGTTATTGTACAGGACACCTGTCCTTATTGTACAGGTGAAACAAATTGAGTTTCAGAGAGGCTAAATAACTTGCTCAAGATCAAACAAAACTTGTGCTCCTAACCATTACTCATACTGCCCCCTTGAGAAACTAAAAGAAAAAGTTTTATTGTTACTTTACAAACTTAGCATCTATAGTGTACGATTATGATTTGCATGTAAGATAAGGGGCTACTTTGTTAACTTTTCTGTTGAAAAATCAGTAGGAATTAGCTTGGGTTCTAAATTTTTCTGTTTTGTGTAAACATGGCATAAAAAAGTGTTGTGTCCTACTTTGAATTCTCACATGTGCTCAAATAGCTTTTAGCAGCAACTTCATTTCACTAACTTGCTTTTCATGGTCAAATTTGAGTCTGTTAAGATTTTTTTCCCTACAGAAATAATAGATGTGGCAGGTATTCATTTACTTTATGAGTCTCTCAGAGTGTCTTTAGTTGTTTGTTGCTCAGGCCAGCCACTGGTTTCAAGTTGTTGATAGTCTAATTCATAAAAGAATCTAGTAAGCAGTTAGTACAGTACATTGATGTAGTTGATATAGTTGTATGTTCTTTTAAGGGGAAGACAGCAGGCTGAAACAACACCATGATGCCCTCTCAAGACTTATTTCTCTCCTTCCCCTGAAAGATTCCGTTGGTGGAGTTTTCTTGAAATCTTGAGGATTCTATAGCTGTCAAGTAGCTGTGGTGGTGTAGATGGATATAGAGAAAGGATCTAGGAATAGAAGAACCTACCCACTAGAGCAAGATTTAAAGGATCAGGTGGGGTCAGTAGGTCTAGAAGACAGGTTTTTTGGTAGAGTAAAAAAACAGGTTTCTAACTAGCAGAGTACCATGTAGTTTGATAGGGAGAAAGCTGAAGATGAGTGGAAAGATTTGAGTCTGATTTGGGTGACCTAAGGCAAGTTATTTACCTTCTCTGAGTATGTTTGCTTTTCCATAAAATGGAGGTAATATCTTCTTAGAGTAGTTATAGCTGTGAAGGTGAAATGAGTCTGAAAGAGTTCAGTAAATGTTTGCTGAATCTGAATTGAAACACTCAATAAATGTTTAAAATTCTGAAGACACTGTAGATACGCCAGTCGGAGTTTAAATCAATAGAGATAGTTATATTATATCAGTGGATCAGAAAACTAGGAAAATGGTTATGGAGTGTGAATGCTAAGGTGTAAATCTAAGAGAGTAGACCGATAGCTGTAGTACAATGTAAGGAACTATTTAAATCAATAGAGATAGTTATATTATATCAGTGGATCAGAAAACTAGGAAAATGGTTATGGAGGGTGAATGCTAAGGTGTAAATCTAAGAGAGTAGACCGATAGCTGTAGTACAATGTAAGGAACTAAACAAAAATAGTTAACAGAGGTGGGAGGACGATAAAGTTGACAGCAGAACATTTCTTTGTCTTAGTTTAAGAATTTATTGGTAAGCCAAGTAAGAGCTTGTCTATGGAGATAGGACACCACCTGATTGGTGCCTGGAGTAAAGCCACAACGAGAAGATAGTTTCTGACAATGGTAAGTGTTGTGCACAAGCATGGTGTTAAAAATTCAGTATAACAGATATTTTGTCCCTTGTCTTGACTTTCTTGGGCATATTATACTATATGGGATGATTTCTGTTCCACCTTTTGAATCAAGTAAATTTTCTTATAGTTAGCTATTAAGATTACTATCTCCTCATTAATATTTTCTGGATTTATACAGCAAGCGTAGTTGCTACCGTATCATATTATACACAGTGGGTCTTTTAGCTTATGAATTATACTAGAGGGACTCCCTCTGGACATCACTACTAGTGTTGCTTTTAGGGAAGCTGTATTAGACATTTACTCATTTTGGCCGGCAGCATCTGAAACCTTTTTTGTGTTTATGAAATCCCCAATCCCTCCCCTTTCTTCGTTAGTAGACTTTTTAGAACAGTTTTAGGTTTACAAGAAAAATTTAAGCGGAGAGTTCTCAATACCGCCTCTTCTGCACAGTTTCCCTAACATCTGATATTAGTGTGATACATTTGTTACAAATAATGAACTAATATTGATTCATTATTAAGCAAGGTTCATAGTTTATATTAGGCTTCATCTTGGTGTTGACAGTTCTGTGGGTTTTGACAATTGCGTAATGTCATGTATCACCATTATAGTATCATATAAAATAGTTTTACCCTTCTAAAAATCCACTGTGCTTTACCTATACATCCTTCCTTTACTCTCCCTGAACTCTTGGCACCTACTGATCTTTTTACTGTCTCTCTGTAGTGTTATCTTTTCCAAAATTCCATATAGTTGAATTCATACCCTTTTAGACTGGCTTCTCTCACTTAGCAATATGGTCTAGACAGTTTCTTTCCATGGCTTAATAGCTCATTTCATTTTTTTTTTCCCCCCTCGGGAGCTGGCTGGTACAGTGATTGAACCTTGGACCTTGGTGTTATCGGTACCACACTGTAACCAACTGAACTAACTACTCAGCCCTCCTTTCTTTTTTATTATTGAGTTGTACTCCATTATATGTATGTACCAGTTTGTTTATCAGTTCATCTATCAAAGGACACCTTGGTTACTTCCACTTTTTGGCAATTATAAATAAAACTACTTTAAACATTTATGTGCAGATTTTTGGGTGGACATAAGTTTCAACTCATGGATAAATACCTAGGAGCATGATTGCTGGATCGTTTGGTAAGACTGTTTATAAGATACTACCACGCTTCCTTCCAAAGTGGCTGTACCCTTTTGCATTCTCAATCGTGCCTGATTTGAGATCATATCCTTTCCTGGTAGAGAAGTAGAGCATATACGAGCGCTTGTGATATCTCATTAGAACCTCCAAATCAGCGTTAGGGAATATGAGCTTCAAGCACAAGTGGAATGCCCAGCTGTATTCACCACTGCCACCATCAAAAGAAAAGTTAAGACATTTTGGTTTCTTGTTTAGTTCAGTGCTTTCCTAATTTAACTTTACCTTCTCTAATTTTTACTCATTGACTTTCCAAAAGGGTTGAATGCATTTAAACTTCTGGTTAAGATCTTTAAAAACTCAGCCTGCCTATCAACCTTTTTTATCAGAATTGTCTCCATTTCACTAGTCTTTTTTTATTACTTTTTTGTAACTTACCTTGTCTCATTTGTACCCATGGGGTTTTAATTTATTGAGGTGACTTGGAGATGATACAGAGAAGCCAATGCCATTGAAAGAAGATTTTTATTACTTACATTTTCCAAAGAAGGAGGCACACTACGCTGTGCAGGCAGAGTCACCAGGGGAGCATCAGGTTTTGGTCAGGAGGCAGAAGCAAGAACAAGGAGAAAGCCTAGGCCAAAGCTTTTACTGGTGTTCTCACAGGAATGGCAAAGCAGGGCAGAGTAAAAAATTTAGGATTGGCTAGTTTTAATAATTCCAATGGGCTTTGGATTGTAGGGTTGGTCTCTAGTTGCCCAATATTAGGCCTGGGGATGATTTAGATCAGGGGAAATATTGGCTTGATTCATGAGAATTAGATAAGGTGGTTGGTGCTGTAGACTTGGGGTTAGTTGGTTTGCATATGAGATTTGTGCTTCTGGCCAAGCCCTTTGTTATCTGTAAGAATTACCTATTCTTATGAGGGGCAGTCTTTCTCTGGCCAGTGAGGCCACAAATGTCAGAGCATCCAGAATACAGAAAATGTGAGTGAGAACATGCAGTATCTATGTTTCTGTGCCTGGCTTATTTCACTTAACATAATATCCTCTAGGCTCATTTATGTTACCACAAGTGACAGCATTTCAGTTCTTTTTATGGCTGAATAATTCATTGTAGAAATATTTTCTTTATGCATTCACCTGTTGGTGGGCACTTGGGTTGAGTCCGTTTCTTGGTTGGCTATTGTGAATAGTGCTGCAATAAACATGGGAGTGCAGATATCCCTTCAACATACTGATTTCCTTTCCTTTGGATATGTACCCAGTAGTGGGATTGCTGAATCATATGGTAGCTCTAATTGTAGTTTTTTGAGGAAGCTTTATACTATTTTCACATTGTATCCCATAAATATGTACAATTATTATGTGTCAATTAAAAATAATAATAAAATAAATTTTAAAAAAGAATACAGAAAATATGGTTAATATAATTGGCCCTGTGATGAATGTATGCCAAACAGAACATGCCCT